ACAACAAATGCTTGAAATAAAGCTTAGATATTCAAGGAATCCGGAGTGGGCGACATCTAGACTGTATAATCTGAACGTCAAACTCAGGGAAAACAGATGATTACGGAGACAGACAGTATTCGAAAAATATTACACAGTTGCTTTGTAAGAATCAGCTCTCCATAATAATAAGTGACTTATGTGTGTCAGCGTAATGAATATAATCCGGGAATGGCGTAGCTTTTCAGATATGGGGAAAGCAAAGGAATGGTGAATCATTTTCAAAACATGTTTATGTCTTTTTTCATAACGTGCACTTCAAGTGACATGATAAATATTCATAAGTATTGATATTTCCATTAATATATCGGCAAATATCTTGCGTCAGCTGGTTTCACATTTTTCTGAGGATGAAAGTATTAAATTCAGTGAATGCTATTCTGAAACACTTGGATTTCAGTTTTACGTATTCTTGTAAACCTAAAATATATTTTTGTGTTTTGTGATATTGTGTCACGTAACCACAGAACTATAAAGTTATAGTTCTGTGCATGTAACAGACAGCAAAGTTTTATATTTCAAATCTAACCAATGAAAACTGATAATGAATATGTCTTCATTCCTAATTCGTTGACATCCAAGTTATTGAAGTTCTGTGTTCNCTCTTGAAGTTAGAAGAAGTTAGATCGAAATTGAAGCTCCCATGTTCCATCTCCAGGAAGTGTATATACAAAATTAATTAAAAAAATAATAGTAATATCTAAGTTATATGACTTTGTGAACAGATGGTACCCATATGATAAATATCAATATTTAATTAAATCCTCTTAGAGAGGATTTAATTAAATTTGTTTCAGAGAGAATCATATTTCCGACAAGTAGACGAAGTACTTCAGTTTGACTTTGAATTTTTTGATCCACGTTTCTTGAATAAACTGCAAGATGAAGCATTTGCGTTCAAAAATATTAGTATAATGCAGTATCTGATTCTTTGATGTTTTACAGCAATTCGGTCTGTCGTAAAAATGGCTGACTCTGTATCAGACAGGAACCAACAAAAAATTCTGGATAAGAAGCTTGAGAAATGCAGGAATCCTGAGAACAATCCAGATAGTGAAATGTGAGTATGTTGAATTTATCTAGTAGAGATAACGACCTTTCTACAAAAATTTCGCCAATATCCATCTATTGAAATAAAGATCATTTATTCACCACAAAAAAGCTGATTGCAGAATATAAAATTCTACAAATGACGCTAATTCAGACCAGAGCTCAAGCTAAATCTGAAGTTGAAAATAAAAATGAAATGAAAAAAATAGGTCACATCAACCTATTATGCTTCAAAGTGGTTTTAAATGTTGATGAAGACGCAACATGCATCCTGAGTAGATTCAACTAATTCACTGAAAGACTCAAGTCTCCAAAAGTATTGTTACGTTTTCAAATAAAGATACAAGCATGGCTAAACATATTGTCCAATTGTTCACGTGCTTTGATTATATTAAGAAAGTTTCAATAAATTTTTGTTGCCTTCTCCTGAATTCATAGCATTGCCCCTTTATATAATAATAATAATAATAATCGGCTTTATTCATCGAATAATTACAAATCAAACACAGTGTAACAATCGATGAAAGGCGAAGTTCAGCATGTGCTGTTTTTCAACTTAACCTTTTACAAAAATGTATACTGCACCATCTGTGAACATCTACAGTTTTAGAATTCATAACTACCACTTCTTGGTGTACTTTAGACAAAGAGAAATAAACAAGTGTATCATCTGCGAATGAATGCATTTATCAATTTCTAGCATTCTGTAATATATCATTAAAAAGTTGAAATGATAATGCCCCTAGTCCAGTTCCTTGCGGAACTATCAATTGCTTCAGATATTATGCTTAGCTTCGATATCTGTTTCTGTCTTCCCTCACACAGATAACTAGATGTTTATGGCATTGCGTTTTCCAAAATACCAAATTGAGCTCAAATGTCTATTGCCTTATTAGTTCACTTCACACTGCACTTTCCGAACTAGAATAGTCTCCCCTACCTGTTGGTGATACTTATATTTCTTGATAAAAGTCTTCGGAAGTCAGTGGAACAATTCTCCAAGCGACGTGGCATCCAGAAGAACCAAGAGAGAGTTGCAAGCAGGACTAAGCGCCAGCTTGACCAAGTCACAGTGGAGTTAGCAATGTGTATCTGGATAAGTAACCCTAGATGCTTAGTTTGGTTCATTTAGAAAGGTTCTTTTCAATAAGCACTTTCTATGTGACATAAACACCGTGAAATTCATCTACTTGGATGGGTAGAAAAGTTTTTCTTTAATTTTTTGAGAAATGGTCATATCTGAAAGTAACTTTTGTTGTTGTATTTTGCAGATACAAGAAGAAAATGCAAGCAATGCTGGATGAAGAGGACGACTTCCATACTGTTAACGATTTGAATTGTTCGATGGATAACTCAACACTCAATATGTCTATACAACAATCGCCTTTATCTTGAAACGATATTGACATACGGATCTTGTGTTAAGTTTTGTGATAATATACTACTATAATATTTTGATTTGAAATGTAGTATGGATAAATGAGAATAAAGTCTTTTGTAAGCAGTTTTTTTTTAACGCACTTTTATTATAGCTTCACTTGTATGTTTGTAACCGACTCTTTTGACCTGGAACCAACACTTGGACAGGATAAAGAGGAAAGCGGAGGTAGCACTGATGCTCGCCAGACGCACCTATGGAAAAACATGGGGACCAAAACCAGACATGGTATATTGGCTATACACGATGGTGGTTAAACCTATGATAACATACCCATCTCTGGTCTGGTGGCCAAAGGTGAAGCAGGCGACCGCCATCAACAAACTAGGCAAGATGCAAAGACTTGCATGTTTGGGAATGACGGGAGCAATGAGAACTACCCCAACAGCTGCATTGGAGACACTCCTGAATCTACCTCCTTTTTACTTTGTGATAATGGGGGAGGCCAGGATGGGCCAATTCAGACTGGAAAACTCACCGAACTACAGAAGATCGGACCGAACAGAAATTTCGGAACAAGGGGAGGAGCACATATTGAATATGTGCACGGACCACATGACACCGAAGTACACCTTTAACACAAACTTCACGGCCAAAATCATAAGCCGTGAAGAGTGGAAGACCATTAGTCATCCCGAAAACATGTTTGGAAAAAATACCTGGTATACAGATGGATCGAAGACCAAACATGGAACGGGAGCTGGAATATACCGAGTAGGAAAAACCAAAAAACCCCAAATTATTTTTTTGCCTTTATCTTCTTTATTCGCAGACGTATTGAAAATCTGTCCACATTTTGCTATTGACACTTGATGTGGTCTCTCAGAATATATACATGAATCTTTTATACAGGGTATCATCTGACTTGGGCCACCCCCATCTTTGAATTTTTAAATACGGACCTGTATTTTTGTTGTAGTTTTTGGATCGTAAACGTTCACTTCATACTGAGAAGTTGTGTGAATATAATTGTGTGAATTATTCCCTTTTAAATTACGGCCCTGGAAATTGGTTGACTGAGTTGTATAAAAAAACAATAGCAACTTTCACGTCTCCCTATGAACGAGAGTTTTTTTCATATTCATATTTTTTCCATTGCTCTGAGCGTCTTCTACAATGAACTTCGAATAAAAAAACCTTTTATGATTATCTGAAACATATCTACAACAAAAATATATTATATGTGTTTTGATGAGCAGAAAAAACATTGTAGCAATAATAACGCCCGAAACGTACACTATAATTATAATGAAAATTGAAATGAAGTGATTTATTTACACAAAAAAATTGTGCAATAAATGTTCGAATTGGAGTCCTTCCATTTCGAGACAAATATTGGGGCAATAAGATGGTCTGCAAGATCACCAGATCTTACTATTTTGGACTATTTTCTATGGGGGACATTGAAAATGAGGATTTACGTTGGCAGAGAGATAGAAAATGTGGAAGACTCGAAATTAAGGATTTTGAATGATTTCTGCTTATTAAAACACATATAATATATTTTTGATGTAGATATGTTTCAAATAATCATAAAAGGTTGTCTTATTCGAAGTTCATTATAGAAAACGCTCAGAGCAATGGAAAAAATATGAATAGGTACCTAAAAATGGAAAAAAACTCTCGAAAAACTCTACGATACATAGGGAGACGTGAATAAATTGGCGTCAGTTTCAGCAGTAAACTCTTCATTCGATCTAAATTTTCTACCAGTGAGCATTTTTTGAGGTTTTTGAATAGCCAGTAGTCGCTGGGAGCCAAATCTGCCGAATATGGTGGATATTGGAGCAATTGGAAGTTCAATTCATGTAGTTTTGTCATTGATTTCATTGACTTGTGACACGGTGCAATGTTTTGATGAAACAAAATGTTTTTCTATGCCATATGCTGTCGTATATAATATTTACTGTTGGCGGTATTTCTCTTTTGGAAATAACATAAGTAGCGTCTCTTAGCACAATTACTCACAAATTTATCGGTTAAATATCATGAAATTTCATTAGCTTTCTTTCGAAGACTGCAAAAGACTAGGGCCATCTTTTCAGCCCAGGTAGTATGTTTTATACTTTGTAGACTACACATTTCACATACTTATAACTCGTGAATGGTTTGGGAGTTCATCATGGATCATTTCTGGGGCCCATGCGTAACTTTTGAGTTAAGTATTGGTATACAAAAATTAATCTCCCCTGAAAAATATACCCCTTTCAACTCAAACACGATTCCTAGGACGGATTCTTTTCATTGACGAAATAAGGGTGAGTTTCCATTTGAATGTTTTTGGTGTTCCTCACGGGTCCTTTCCAGGGCCCATACTAAGGGCAAATGTTTTGCGTGAATTTACGTAACTTTTGAGCTATTGGTACGAATATAATGATAATTCGATGTTTTGAGTAATGATGAGGTTTTAACCTCTATTGAGTGATTGAACTTCTGAAAAGAAGAAGAATAACGGAAAAACAGATTTTAAACAGATTTTTTCAAACAGATGGGATGTCACCTCTGTTGACAGAAGAATCATGAAATACAAATCAATCAACTGAATTTAGTTCATTAAACACCTCAAAAGGCTGCTTTGTTCCCTCCTGTTCATAATAGAGGACATATTCCTCCCCACTTTGCCATTTTGGTAAAATTGGGGACACGTGTGAATCGTTGTATTCACGTCACGTGCCACTACATGGGTGTCTGCAATATGCTGTGTAATGCCCGTTGTGAGTAGTCCCACTGTGATTTGAAAGTACATATATATTATAACGACAAGGAGTCACAACATTGTCTGCTGTATAATGGCTCCTATCTAATCCTCATAAAGAAAAGTCAATGTCATCATGCCTCCGTTGGAGAGAACTTTTCAGATGAATTACCAAAATACAGNTGCTGCGAACGGCGGCGAATCGACATTTCACGGTCATGATGAACACTGGCGGATACAGCCGCAGTATTTTCTTCGGTCCTCACTCTACGTATGCGTGTTGGTGGCTTAATGTCCAATAAACTGGGTTCCAAATTTAGTCACAAGCTTCCGAATAGCTCCCTGAGTAGGCCGACGAAACTGCCCATAAATTTTAAGAAATGCACGATGCACTTTCTTCACCGAGCATGAATTTTAATAATGAAATTCAATAATTTGCAAACGTTGTTCATCCGTAAGTCGATTCATGGTCAAATTATAGACCAAACTGAACAAGTTTGACAATGACACAAGATACGATTCACGCGTGATCTGTCAAAAACAGTGTTGCCAAAAAAAACTAGCAAAAAAATCACTCATTATTTCTTGATATGGCTCGTTTGTCTCCAACAGAGAATAAAAGAGCGAATTCACACAAAAATGTTGCCTGCGTAATGGATATGATATTATTATTCGCTCGGTGAACAATTGAGGCACGTTTTGAATAAACAAACCAGAAATAAAAACAGCCCCCCATTAATATTAATGCGGCGCATTACAAGCGTACGATTAAAAGCCTAAAAGACTAATTCGCCATGGTCAATAAAGCAACTTCATTATAAGTTATTTAATTATTGTGAAGGCCTGGAGAAATACGAGCTGTTGAAGGAAGATCACGGAAAATTGCCGGGAATTTTGAATGACGCGGACGCACGATACTAACACTTCTCTACAAATTGATTTAGTTAATTGCAGCATGGAATTAGAGATGCGTTGGACGATACGCGCCTTGTTGTCGGTGAGAGAAGATTCTAGAAATCGATAAAGGGGACTATCGACGGCTTCGGATCTATGATATATGCCACTGGCGGGAGTGTTTTCCTTCTTTTTTTTTGTTCGTTCTTCAAACTATAGTCCAGGGAGCCGTTATTTTTATTACACGCTTTATATTAGCTTCACCCGTATGTATGTGTGTTTGTATGTCACCGTAGTGTGCGCTGGTCAGGCCCTATCCCCTGAGAAAAACCGTAATCTGAGAATTTCGTTTTTATTTTCTCTTAGCTTTATTTCCGGAGGAAATGTAAAACGAATAGCACTCTGCCATGGTCACTTTTTAAGGACTTCATGATTACGCTAGCATATTTTTTTGGTACGTTTCGTTTTTTAGAAATCATCATCAACTTTATATTCTGCTCACGTTATCGTGTAGTCCTTAAAAAATGATAATGTCAAAGTGCTATTCGTTTTACATTTTCTTCGAAAATGAAGCTAGGAGAAAATAAAAACGAAATTCTCAAATTTCGGTGTATTCTCGGATATCTCCGAAACTACTCGGAATATTAAAAGTTTCTAAATGGCATACTATTAGACACATATCTATTATTAAACCTCGTATCACTTACCGTTTCTGATATCCCCATGCTGTTCATTCTTATCTTGGACACAGTGTATAAGGCAAGTTGTTGATACATAAAATATACATTAGTGGTGCAAGTATGGAGCCTTGTGGAACCCCCATTTCATTTTTCCTTCACATATTCCATTTGTTCTTCTTTTTCATCTCTTTCTATTAAGTATTGAAATCTGAGTATTTGTTATGCAAGAGTTTATCAGTTTCAAGGAAACTCCTCTTATTCCGAAATACTTAAGTTTTTTTAAGAGTGCATTGTGGTCAACTTTATCGAAGGCCTTGGAGAGATCTATACATACTACTATAGTTTCATTTTTATTGTTAGCGAGTTCAAGGGCAGTATATAACGCTAGTATAGTGAATGTACCTCTTCTCAAATCATTTTTTGGATCTGAAATAGTTTGCCAGTTATTTTTTCTCATTTTTTATAGATGGCTCTGATTATTGTAGCAATCTTCAACTTTCCCTTTCGTCATCATCAGGTTTACTATGTAGCTGAAAGGATGACAGCTCTCCCCAGCTACACATTTTAATACTTTTATATAAGTATCTTATCGTCTCCCACTGATTTTTTGTTTTTTAGTGAGGTAATTACATCGTATAATTCGTATATTTTGGTATGGTTATATTTCGTTTTATCTGGAAATTATTTGTTTTTTAGTCCATACATTGGACTTATTAGACATTTGGACATTCTTCCTTTTTCAAAGGAATCGGCCAAATTTCGGATATGCAGTTGGTTAATACCACGTCCACTAGATGGAGTGACATTTTGTTGTTCGCTCCAACTTAGGAAGAGGAATGAAATACTCTGAAAGAATTCCGATTTTCAGATGTGGAATATCATTCACTTTAGGTCTAAGATGGCCACTATCTTGCACTGATGAGTGGCTAATGAGCCCGAAACCGGTCTGCAAGTGTGCCCGTTCCAAAACTGAAGGTCGACTCTTTCAGTTGTATTGCCAATTGCATATGCATGAAATTTTCTGTGAAGATTTCTGCAATGACGCCTGTCGGATATAATCCAACGTCCTTCGTGGTATTAGCCAGGGGAGTAGTTGTTTTCTGATAGGCGTCACTTCATTCCACCTACTGTGTAGGTATATTCGAGACTGGCTTGAACGTTCAAAGTTAATTTCTTTAGATCATACATCAATTTTTATTTGCTTTATCTGGGATTGTTTGGCTTTGTTTCCATGAGCGGATTCAATAAGTGAAACTGATTTATATGGTGTTTTACCTGTATACTTTTTCGCTAGGTTCCAAACAGTTTTGTTTTTATTTTGCGCGCTAACAACATACACATGATTTGCTTTTTTAGCTGCTTTAATAACTTTCTTGAATATATGTCGATATTTGTTATAGTTCCCTTCACACAATTCAAATCACTGTCAATGTCCTAATCAAAATGAACCATTGGAATCAAATATTCAAACATGATTATGACTAAATATAAAAAACTTTTCAGACATTCGTTTACAGACAGACACAGGCTTAATCTTATATTAAAATTGTGACAGTAACTAGACCCTAACTAGGCTGATACAACTCAAATATATATGTAGGCTAATAAGCCTATCAATCAAAATTCCCAGCTGCATTGCAAATCGTTTTTGCATTGTTGTAGAGACAATTTATAATACATTTTTCAACACCCGCATGATGGTTTCACGTGTAGTAGAGACAATATATATTTGTATGTGTTTTCTTTCGATAAACATTTGCATCAAAATCATCTGAAAACTTATTCAACATTAAGTCAAGAAAAGAAAGTTGACCACCATCTTGTTCAACCACTATTGTGAACTTTATTGTCGTTTCTTGTTCGTTGAGAAGATTTAAAAAAGCATTCAGAACATCATGACTTTCATTACAACTATCAGAAACATTCTTGAAAGTGAAAATGCCCTAGAGGGGTCGATACAAAGATTGATTTCCTCCTACAAAAAAATATTTTTTTTCAATATTCCCCTGGCAGACTAATCCGTTCAACAAGCGCTGGAAAATAAAACACATGGCTATGAAATTAGCACAAAATCATAAATAATTGATGCAGAATTCTCTTGGGAAAGTTAGTGCAGGCGTCAAATAAAAAGAGACGAAAAAACTTGAACGGTATTAGACCGTGAAACCAAATCACTTTTAACGCACACCTGTTAGATTGATTGCATTAACTGCTCAACATAAATTATTCGCAAATCCAACGCAAAACGCAAATACGCAATTAAATGCGGCGTGGACAAGGACAAGACGATCAAACTGGCCGACGGTGTAGATCAAAGGCGCAGTTAGAATGTGAGTAAGGCTTTAGCATGAATACCTACGACGCATGTTTTTTCCCTTATCAATAAGGGGGTACAATTCTTCTTCTGTCATAATCGTTCATAAGAGATTTTTTCTTCAACATTATTTTATCGAATTCACGGTAAGCTGGCAATTCTGAAAATATCCTATGGTTTAAGTTTCATCATCTGGGTATCACATTTCTGTAAGATGAAGCCAGATCTAGAAACTGTCTCCAGTAGCTTCGAAACCTCCTACTGTCATTTAAAAATCCTTCAGCAACCGACGTACTTTGCCATCCACCATGGCACTTCAAAGTGGCCATACTGACTTTAGCCTCTACTGACTAGATATTTATCGGTTTTTGTTCTCTGGTAAGTTTACCACGAAAATCAATATCTTGCCTTCTTTATGATTGAATATTTAGACTATAGTTAGTGAGCTGAGAGGGATTTTTTTAAGCCAACACAGTTTCGTACGTATATTGTATCTAATATTGTATGAAATGGACGATTTTTGGGTGGTGAATATACCGCCTTGTCAAATAAAGAAAGAACTTTACAGGTGTTTTCATATGCGCGTTAGAAGACGCTGAGAGCACTCGTTGTAATAATAATCTCGTAGTATAGTTTGCGAGAAAAATGTATCTGGTAGAAATGGAACTAAACATAAAGTTTTAACAGTAGAAGCGAACAAACAAGAAGCGAATGATGGTCGTTCTTCGGAGTGAAAAAAAGTTTAAGAGCTTAGTTCAACTAGAGCAAGTCTGAAAGGTTATATAATGAAATGGAAGAAATGGAAGATGATGAGTCGTCCTCATTTTTCACTTCAAGTTAAAAAACACAGAAAAGTCCCAAAATTATTCTTCTTAGAAAATAAATATCATTCCATGGCCCCCAAAATTATTCTTCATAGAAAATAAAAATCATTCCATGGGGAACGATAATAAATGAAATAGTATTGATATAAAATCATGTTCTAAAGAAACTCTTTCAATTCAAAATTTCACCCAGGTTTTGAGAATGACATCGTCCAATACCAATTTAAAAAAAAACATCAAAACGATTCATTTACATACATTGTGGAAAAAATACTGTGAAATACTGTTTCATTTATATTATAGTCGACATACCTATTCATAATCAACATTTATAAATATCATGATTCCATATTCTTCTGATGAACAAAGAGAACAAGTAGTTTCGCTTCAATAAAAATATTTCAAAATGTTTAGATGTTCAAATATAGGATTAACAACATATTTCAACGTCAAACCTAGGATTTAACTAAAAATGTAATTCACTGAGTATTTCAAATTTAATTAGTTTGGAATCCTGCTTGTTGATTGAATATATATTTTTATACATTTCTCGTTCAACATTGTGTGCATTCCCTAGCTATGTTTCAGTTTTGTTGAATTTCCATTTTTGTACAACGTTCAAGATTTTCATCCTTGATTTTTTTTCTTAGTATTCCAACGAAATAGAATGCTATAATATAAGGTGCCATCTACAGAAAATCAGCAATAGTTATCTTTTTAACTTCACCAGTAGACCTATGAAGAATTTGAAATGCAGATTTCTATCAACTAGAATATTGCTGCTCCTAAACTTTTGATAAAAATACATAGAGGGCGGAATATTGATGATTTGCTTAGAACTGCCAACAATCAACAATAGTGCACTCAGGGTTCATAAAGGAAGCCAGAGTACACCAACCTAATGATACATTGATTTTCTTTCACATAAAATGTTTGAAAGCATTAGATTTTTAGAATACAACAAATGCTTGAAATAAAGCTTAGATATTCAAGGAATCCGGAGTGGGCGACATCTAGACTGTATAATCTGAACGTCAAACTCAGGGAAAACATAGATGATTGCGGAAACATACCGTATTCGCAAAATTATTACACAGTTGCTTAGTAAGAATCAGCTCTCCATAATAATAAGTGACTTATGTGGGTCAGCGTAATGAATATAATCCGGGAATGGCGTAGCTTTTCAAATATGGGGAAAGCAAAGGAATGGTAAATTATTTTCAAAACATGTTCATGTCTTTTTTCATAAGGTACACTTTAAGTGACATGATAATTATTCATAAGTAGTGATATTTCCATCAATATATCGGCAAATATCTTGAGGCAGCTGGTTCCTCATTTTTCTGAGGATGAAAGTATTAAATTCAGTAAATGCTATTCTGAAACACTTGGATTTCAGTTTTACAATGAATCGTATTCTTGTAAACCTAAAACATAATTTTGTGTTTTGTGATATTGTGTCATGTAACAGACAGCAACGTTTTATATTTCAAATCCAACCAATGAAAAGTGATAATGAATATGTCTTCATTCCTAATTCGTCGAAGTCCAAGTTTTTGAAGTTCTGTGGTCTAAATCAAAACAAAAAGTTAACCAACAAAATTAACCTATAATTGTATTTTCTCTTTTATCATAGAAAATGTTTTCCACAAGTACTCAATGCAAATACTGGATGTTCGGCACTGAAGAAGAACTCAGCAAACTCAGGGAAAAGGCAAACCAAAGACATATTCAAACCTATGGAAAACTAGTTAATGTAGGTATATTTCATAAGCTGAGTCTATCAGCCAGTAATACTAATCATGGTATATTTCAGGAGGCAGTCAAATATGAATTCTTTCTTACACCAGAAGAAGAGAAAATCATGGTAAAAAGATACGAGCTGCACCTGCGAGACTTTTGTAAGAGGTTTCAGCCTCCTATGCCAAGATATGTCGTAGGGACATCATTCCACTACTTCAAGCGTTTCTACATCAATAACTCTGTTATGAATTATCACCCCAAGGAAATAATGTAAGTTTTTGCAGTAAGAATAGGCTCCAAGCGCTAACTTCAACTATTTCCATTTCAACAATTATATATTCATTGAAAAACATATTGTTTCCAGGTGATTATACCCACAGTTTCTTCTTTTTAGGGTGACCTGCATTTATTTGGCTTGCAAAGTTGAAGAATTCAATGTTTCTATCCAACAGTTTGTAGCGAATATCAAAGGAGACAGGGAAAAAGCTACTGACATTATTTTGAATAACGAGTTACTGTTGATGAAGCAATTGAACTTTCATTTATCGATACATAACCCTTTTAGACCCGTCGAAGGCCTGCTCATCGATATAAAAGTAAGTATAACGTTCGTTCTTGAAATTTTATATCATATCTCAACCCAAGTTCACTTGCATTGGGGGTCCTTTGACCTCTGTGGGTAGGTTCTAAGTTTTAATAAATCCCAGTACATGTGACACTTTGAATTGTTTTTCAGACTAGGGGCTCCTTGCAAGATCCGGAAAGACTGAGATTGGGTACAGAACATTTCTTAGAACGTGCCCTGCTTACAGATGTCATTTTACTGTATTCTCCAAGTCAGGTAGCTTTGGCTGCTGTTTTGCACGCTGCATCGAAACTGCAGGAAAACTTAGATTCGTACGTTACAGATATCCTGTTTGGTGATGATGCCAAGGGAAATTTGGAGGAGTTGATTGAAGCCGTAAGAGGTGAGTGTTGTCATTTTTTGTATCGTTAATGGGAAAAATACATCCTACTTTCCAACTAGAAGAATGACTGTACCTGCCTTCATGGTTTATTAAAAATCTCTTGAAGTTAGGAGAAGTTAGATCCGAAACTGAAGCTCTCATGTCCCATCTCCAGGGAGTGTATATACAAATATAATTGAAAATAAACAAGAAGATCTAAGTTGTACGACCTTGTGAAGAGAAGGTTCACATATGATAAATATCAATATTTAATTAAATCCTCTTAGAATATAGTATTTATTTCAGAGAGAATCATATTTCTGACAAGTAGACGAAGTACTTCAGTTTGACTTTGAATTTTTTGATCCACGTTTCTTGAATAAACTGCAAGATGAAGCATTTGCGTTCAAAAATATTAGTATAATGCAGTATCTGATTCTTTGATGTTTTACAGCAATTCGGTCTGTCGTAAAAATGGCTGACTCTGTATCAGACAGGAACCAACAAAAAATTCTGGATAAGAAGCTTGAGAAATGCAGGAATCCTGAGAACAATCCAGATAGTGAAATGTGAGTATGTTGAATTTATCTAGTAGAGATAACGACCTTTCTACAAAAATTTCGCCAATATCCATCTATTGAAATAAAGATCATTTATTCACCACAAAAAAGCTGATTGCAGAATATAAAATTCTACAAATGACGCTAATTCAGACCAGAGCTCAAGCTAAATCTGAAGTTGAAAATGAAAATGAAATGAAAAAAATAGGTCACATCAACCTATTATGCTTCAAAGTGGTTTTAAATGTTGATGAAGACGCAACATACATCCTGAGTAGATTCAAATAATTTCCATAGACACAACTTTTTCAAGTAACTTTTTGTTAAATTCGATCTAGAAATGCCCTTTTTCAATTTTTTTCAAAAAAAAAGTTGAGCTTGACAAACACTGAACGTCAGTGGGTCGCAGTTGGCTGCATCATTTTGAGTTAAATTTAAAGCACAAACAAGTGTCGAAGTTAAACTTCATTGAAACTTTTCGAAAAAAAAGTTTCCCATATGGTGTGCACTTTAATGGTAACACTGTATAATTTAATGGTCTCAAGATGTTTAATCACTTACCTGACCATATTAAAATTCAAGAGAATAACTGCGTATTTCGAAAATCAGTAAAAGACTTATTATGTGGTAGACCCTATTATAGTATAGAAGAGTTCTATGAGGATAGCTATCTCCAATTAATTTTGTCAACTATATTTTTTATTAAACTAAGTATGGTAGACTGCATTTGATATCAACCGACAACTGCGTTGGCAGAAATTTGGGAAGCTAACCTGGAATGTCATCGAAAAACGAACCCACATGTTTCTAGAAATGATATGAAATCGAGAAAGGTTGATTGGTCAAACCACCAACACTGACATAAAAACTTGGCAAGTTGACTTGGGTGTCACACCAATGGGTGGTTCCAATTTTGTCTCGCTTGTGTTTACGCAGTTATTTTTAATAAGTACTTTTCTTGGTTTTTCACATTTTGTCTTCAATCGAGGACCGCCTGCCCGGTACTGACGATACCCAATAGGCTGAAACAGCTGTATACCGGTGGCTCTTAAATTGAAATCAATATGGGAATGATCAAAG